GCCCGCTGCCCGCCGCCCGCGCTCCGCCCGCCGCCCGGCTGCCAAAGTTTCCCGATCACGTGCCACCCCTCGCGGCCGGGAGGTCAGGGGCCGGTCCCCAAGTCCGCCGCGGGGAGGGAGGCCCGGTGAGAACGTGGGCTGGAGACTGGGTACGCTTGTGGCAACTGCACCCCTGGAACCAGGAGAGGACAGACACACAAGGGCGGGAGACCCTGTGCACCTGGCTCGATTCCTTATGGGACTTAGACTAGCAAGTCCTGGAGGTGGGGGTGTTTGCTTTGCTGTTCCCCACCCACCCCTCCGTCTGGTTCCCTTTGCCACAGTGCAAGGAACGCAGAGGCTCAGCAGAATTGAAAAGGGGTAGGCGGGAATCCCTCCTCATAACTTTCCTTGTTAAGACATTATTCGGTAGAATGAGGACATACAGCCTCTTAACAGAGAATATGTAAAAGTAGAATGAAATACCCATTTATAAGGACGTAGATCGGCCCAGCCATTACAGTGTACAGGGGAAATTCACATGAAATATTTCCACTTTTAAAACGTGGGTTGGTCTGATGACTGTGGGAATGGGGTCACAATGTGTTCACAGAGAACTGAGAAGTGTATTCTGCCTTAATGTTCAGTAAGTCCACAAGGTGCTAAGAATCAAGGCTACAAGGATGGGTACGACAGACTTTCTGCTGCTAAGCAGCCTTCTCTTGGGTCAAGGACAGAGAGAAAGACCAGTCCACTAGAGGCATAACATTCCTTGTACAGTGTGGCAAAGGGTGTCATAGGAACTCGGGAAAACTGGCTGATGAACACAAGAAGGAACAAGTTAATCTTGGATGAGTGCTGAGGACCATAACCAAGGAGAATTAGCATTTGCAGAATGAGCAAGATTTGAACATTCTGGTGTAAACGTGTTAGGTGGGGAGCACTGTGGGCAAACGAAAGGGAGACAAAGCAGAAAGGTCCAGAACAGCCTCTGAAAACAGTGGCCCTAAACTTGAGGATGTTCCGGAAGCAGGAAGACCCCATTGTAGGGATGAATGTGTATATAAACAGGATAATACGTGAGAATGGGGGGAAGGGTGGAGAGACCCCGGATAGTGGTCTTCATGGCTGCCTGAAGTCTGAATTCCCCTCATATTTTTAAACTTTTCCAGCTGCAGAAGGCAGAAAGTCTAGGGCCACTTCCTTGACCATCTCAGCTCAAGTGCAGGGTTGGGGCCTCAGGCAAGGCCAGCATGCACTGACAGGGTTCTGAATCTGATTCAAGCTTTGTAAGAAGAACAAACAGCAGAGAATCAGTTTTGCTATGAGACAGCTGCAGAATTTACTGCCCAGGCTGGCTATGCTAGAAGTCAAAGCCATCACCCTGCTCCAAGGTGTGATTTTGGCTGCAATCTTGGTGTAGCATCTCCGTTCCAGTATATCATCTGCACTAGGATTTCTGTTTTCTTTTCAATTCCTTAAGCTACGCAATAGCTTTTTGTAAACTATCCCTTTTCTTATTTTGGCTAGGATGATTTCTAATGCATGTCATGTGAGAGAAATTTGAGAAATATATCTTTTCAAGAAAGAAAAATAGGAAGAAAGAAAGGAGAAAAAGAAAGGTACCCAGTATTTTTTAATTTATTAGGTTCTAGGCATAGTTCTAGATTTTCTCTGAACTGTCTCATTTATCCTAATGGAGAAACTTAGAACCAGAGAGGTTAACTAACCAGAGAGGGTAACTAACTTTGCTAAGGTCAGATAGCTAGTAAATGGCAGATCTAATATTTGAACTCAGATCTTCTGACCCCAAAATACATTATATGTGTTTGCACCATAGAAGGTACATCTATACCAAAAGCTTGATTGATGATATATTTATATTGTTCTGCCATTAACTGCTATATGAGATGTGATTGAAAAATACAATGAATATTTAAATTTAAAAAAATTTTCTTACTCTTAATCCTCCTCAGAATATTCCTGCTCATTTCAAACACACTTATTGCATCATTCTTCCCACTTTCTGAAGTGGGTTTAGAAGTCCTCATTCGTGTCTTTAGTTGGGCTGTTGTGACTGCCTCGATGTCTTGAATTGATTCAAAATGTTTACCTTTCATGGTCACTTTGTGGAAAAGAGCCAGAAATTGCACAGTACCAAATCCAGTGGGTAAGATGGAGGACACACCCTAAGATTTCTGCCAGCTTGCCTTTCTCTTGGATGGCACTCAGCAGCAGCATTCATCATGCTTTTGGTCATGTGTCACAAAGACACTCATGAAAAGGACTTCCAGAACTGCTTCAGAAAGTGGCAAGAACAGTGAAATAAGCATCTTCAAAGCAAGAGGGAGTATTTTGTTGGGGATTAATGACAATGTGTCTTTTATTATAATAAATGTTTAAAATTTAACATTCACCATATATTTGATCATCCCTGTGTGTGCAGACATACAGAGTGCAAAAGACTGAATAGTGTTTAGTATCTAAACATATCACAATGGAATTTTATGGAAAGCTTGACATAAAAGGAAGTTTATATGGGTGAAAAACTGAAGATGGACTCAGTAAAGAGAGCTAGGATGTGCACAAGAAGGGGACAGTGGATACTCACAGAAGTGAACCTTGTGTCCTCAGGGTGTATGATGTGTGTACTTCTACAGGAATCAAGAGGCTTGCAGAAAAGTGGTGAATCACAGAATGCAGATTTCTAGTCTACCATCCCAGAAGCTGCGTACTGCTCTGCATGTCTACTTCATAGCTAGAGAGGTACAGTTGGTCTATCTTAAATCTTCCTGAAATGGGGCCTCAGACCATACCCTAAATCACAACATGTGCCTCTCCCAACTGCACATTGTTTCCATGGTGACAGGATATTCATATAAATGTTAACCATACACCTAATGATTCAAAACCATGGAGCCTAGTGGATGGAGATGGGAGATGTCAGGTAATGGTATTGTTCTGCAGTACTGTTGGTGAGTAGTAGGATATGACACCAAGAATCCCAGTGTTATTCCAAGTGTGGTTTTTGAACTTCTAGCAGCAGAATCACATTCTAGCATCTGTTTAAAAAACAGATTTTCAGCTGGGCATGATGGCACTGTCTATAATACCTACAGTCTCTGAGGATGAGTCAGGAGGACCACAAATTAAAGCCTCCCCTCAACCAAGGGGAGCAATTTAGTGATTTAGCAACACCCTGTCTCAAACTAAAAACTTAAAAAAGGAATGAGGACATAGGTGAGTTCAAGGGCCTTGCATTCAATCCCCAGTGTGTTGGGGGGTTGGTATCAGAAATGTCAGGGTCCTGGAAATCTGCATTTTAACTGCCTTCCTCAAGTGCTTTCAATGGACATTAATGTTTAAGAATCAACCCATAGGACGGGCATGGTGGTGCATGCTGTAACCCCAGAACTTGGGAGTCTGAAGCCTGAGGATCGCTGTGAGTTTTAGGCCAGCTTGGACTACATAGTGAGTCCAAGGCCAGCCTGAACAACACTGAGATCCTTTCTCAAAAAAAAAAGAAAAAAGTAATCCATAGCTAACTGTCCTTTTGTTCTCCTGGGAAGCTGTTGAATTGGCTTTTGTGAATGATACTATGATCTGGCTTATCTCCTGTTGTCCATTTGTTTTAGCCAAACAGGATGGGACCCCACATAGAAGTTGATTTGTCACAACCGACAGAGGGTCTTGATCCCCAACTCATCATAGTTTCTTCTGCAGCCAGAGACCAAGATGTTGGAATCAGGTCTGGTGTGGGATCAGAGTGGGATTCTCAAGAAGCCACAGCTGGAACTGCATTTGGTGGGAAGAGGTGAGGACTAACAGGCAGCTTCGTCAAAGCTGCTCATATTAGAACAGAATTAGGACACAGAGAAAAGAGACGTGAACCACCACAAGGAGACATGCTGGTAGCTGGTAGCAACCACATAGTTATAAATATAATGCAGCTGAACCCTCTTTAAAACATGATTTCATTGCAGACACACAGGCATGCATGCACATGAATCCTGCTTAACGTGGTCTTTTTAAAGCACACAGATAAAATCATATTTCTCCTTCTCTCTGACTTTGCACTTCAGGAGGAATATATGAGGTGTGACTTTAAAACAGATGCCATGTTTCTTATCTAACACTGGTTCATCTCTCCTGCCCTGTGCTACCTGTTGTTCATTATCTTCCCCATCCCCCATACCTTCAAAACTACTCTTGATGAATTCTAAGTTTAAAAAATACCTAAATGAAACCAAGGAACTTAAACTTGGAGACCTGATGGCAAAATCGAAACATTTTCAGCTGTTTCATATTGAGAAATAAACTGTTTTGTTAAAAATAGAAAACTTTTAGGGCTGGAGATGTAGCTCAATGGTAGAGCACTTGCCTAACCTGCACATGGTCCTAGATTTGACCCCTAACACAACCAAAAACAAATTAAATATATAAAAAGCTTTAAAGGCTGTAAATACATATATAAAGTGCACGATTCTTCTACCTAAAAAAAACACACAAAAATAGACAAAGAGAAAAAAAAAACCTGAACCGCAACAGCGGTAAGTATACAATAAGTAAAAGACTGGGAGAAGATGCTAAAATGTCCCCAATTTTCAGCAGATTTAATCCAAGAGCTTGCAGTTTCAGGCTTAAATTCAATGTCAGTAGTGCTGGGTGCTGAACTAGGTGAGGTTTTATTTGTCCCATTCTAAGGTCAGACCCCCTCAGCAGTGGGGTGCTTCTGTCTGCATTAGTGTCTTAAAATGCTTTCCTGAAAAAGGTCAATCCAAGGGTAATGCGAAGAAGTGAAGAACAGAACATGAAAGTATGTTTACACCATAGTTTCAAATATGGAAACGTATTCAAAAGAGACAAAGGAAACAACAAAAGAATAAGGTTATCTCTGGGAA